TCTCCATAACCCCCAAAACGACTGGTTTGGTCTTCCAACGAGGAAGAAGAAAGAAAAAAAAAATCAAAATAACCCCCAAAACGACGTCGTTTTGGGGGGCTGCTTGAACGGCCGCCGGGAAGGGCGGCCGAGAATCCGGACTCTTAAATATAAGCTCAAATTAACTGATTATTATCTTTATTGTTATTAATTTAATTTTTTGTACGTTGATCATCACGGTTTAAAAAATAATCATATGCTTTCACAAAATAAAGGAAAATTATATTAAGATACACACAAAAAGAAATATAGAGAGGTATAGAGAAAGAAATGAGATAAATGTGAATAAATAATACAGCAATTACTTTCTTTTTCCCTTTCTTTTTTTTTTTTGGTCATTTTCAATCACTTAATTAAATGGTAATATATTATTAGTTGTCATTAATTGTGTAATAATTATCTATAAATAAATGAACCAGTTATAAGTATTCATATAAAATGTGATATAAAACATTGACATAGAACATTTCTCCAATATAAGATTTAGAAGGATTTTTTTAACATGATTAAATATTTATAGTGACAAATGGAATAAATTTTTTTTTCAAGGAAAAAATGTAAAGAAAATAGTGATGTAAAATTTCAAGACATTACTTAAAAGGATCAAATTGAAAATATATATATATATATTTTTTTTTTTTTTTATTTTTTTTTACAAGACATAAATATAATTTTCTAAAAATTGAGAGGAGCACATGACCCTCCTGGGCCTCGCTTGTCTCCCCTCTACTTAGCAATATTTAAACATAGAATAGCATGATTAATGTGATGCTAATTTGTTTAATATGTTCAATATGGAGTTGGTGGTTACATTTATACCAAAGTTTAAAATAAAATCACATTGATTCGTAATTTTCACTTTAAAAATGCATACTACGAATTTGTTCATTTGAAATTTTTATCTCAATGACATAACTAATCCTAAAAAAATAACATAATATTTTTTATAATATGTCATTTTTAAAAGTGCACATAATAAAATCTCCCCAATATAATACTAGTTCTCTTTGGATTCAAGTCAAAGACATAGTAAAGTTCAAAAGTTCCTGTAGGATCATTAAGGTCACCATTTTTCATCTTCAAGTCTAATTCAAATCCACTAGCAAAAAAGCCTAGCTAGAATAGAACTCATTAATTTAACAAACACCAATAATAATAAACCAAGGCTTTGAAAGAAACATGCCTCAAGAAAATTATGTCACAGCAACGAGTTGCAAGCATGATTGTACCAAGTTTAATGTTGAATGATTATTCCTTAATGATGGACTCTCGTGGTCTCATGTTTTCCCATTTTTTCTTTTTCTTTTTCTTTTTATTTTCTTTTTTTGATTTTGTCAATTGCAGCTTTTTGACCCATTTAGACGTTATTTGGTATAAACTAAATAACTCCACTTATTTAGATAAGTGCAATTATTTGGGTCACGTCATCTTTTTATTTTTGTGTACATATTTTTGTAAAAAATTAAAAAGTATGCTTATCACTTATAAGTTACTTTTATGATTATAAATTTTTATTTATTAGCATAAAAAATTAAAATAAATTATAAATCTATTTGGTGCAGTTTTATAGTATGTTAAAAAATTGAACATATTTGCTTAAATAATTAGTCACATAATATGTTATTGTGTAATTATTCAAAATGCCCTCAAATGTTATAGTGAAAACAAAAAATAAAATAGCTCCAAATTATAGTTCAAAAAATATGATTATTTTTTGCCAAATAAGCTAAAAAAAAGTTGCAACAAAACACCATAATCAACTTTTTTAAAACAAATATGCTAAATCGTTTATTTTGTTAGTCATTTCGTATATTTCATCCACACAAAAAATTAAATCGATCTGATAATCATAGCTTATTTAATTTGTCACATTTATCACCAAAAAATAATTGATTTATTTTTAAAAATACGTGATCCATTTTTTAGGTAATAAACGTGATAAATTAAATAGTGTATGATTATTGGATCGATCTAATTTTCTTTTATGATGAAATATCCAAAGTGCTCGACAAAATAAACTATTCAGATTATTGAAACAAAATCCATGGTGAATTTTATGAGCCTAAATAACACTCTCTAGTCCAAATTTTGGACTAGAAGGAATTATCCTCCTCAATTTTTTTGTATAGAATTTATGTTTGCATATTGCTAATCTTTATCTTTACATGCATTCCTATTACAAAACTTAAGATTTTTTTAGTAATGATACATAAACTATTTTTTGTACAAAATATCTATACAAAATTATGTAATTTCTTATGGTCCTTTCATTTCTAATCAAAGAACTCACTACTATTATTATAATTTCAAAAAGAGCAATGTTATGCTTATCATTTGCTTCTATTTTTATTTTATTTACCATCTTATGTGGTGCATTCCAGCATCATTAGTACAATAAGTCTAGCATAATATAAATATTCAAAGTTCTGGGATGTGCCACATAAGATAGTCAATGGAAATGGAAAGTACAACATTTTCGTTTCGAAAATATTGACACACCATTCTAAATGTTATATATATATATATATATATACACATTTTATGTTTATAAATTTTTTTTTTTTTTAATCTATTACCAAATTGATTTTTGTTTTTGAGAAGTGAAGCAACCCTAAGAATGAACAGCGTATATCAGTGGTATCTTTTGAAATATGCCTGTGGGCTTGAAAGCCCAATATGTGAAAGACAAAAAGCCCTCTCATAGCTTTTACATTTTGGGCTGTCTCCATGAAATCTACTCCAAAAATCTGCAACAACACACAAACGAATTAGAAGAGGGTAAACGTGTAACTTCATTAGTATTTTGGGTTGCATGGGTCGGTTTGGGAGGAAATTATCAATCCAATCACATTTGGCATATTGAAAATTATCAAATTGACAAATTTTAAACGGGAACTTACTGATAAGTCCCATGTACTAAGTTCAAAACCTAGCTAATCCCAAAACAAAATATTTGTACCAATTAGTCCAATACATTTTTAATTGTTACCAAAAAATTCTTTTTTTTTTTTTTTAATTTACAGGCACTGTTCACATCTTACTACTGTCGGACTTCCGTCAAACGGTCGCCGGAGACTCGTCGGAATGTTCAACATCGCCGGAGACTCGTCGGAATGTTTAAAGCATGTTATGAAACTGTAAAATTTTACAGTTCTAAAAAATCTTATAAAACTGCAAAATTTTACAGTTTTAAACCATGATTCATTCCAGCACCAAAAAAAAATTTGAAACTGTAAAATTTTACAGTTTTCACCGCCTGTAACTAAAACTCGAAAATTACTTGTTCAGAATTCAAAAATTTTCTCATTACAAATCTGTGTGATATCTGTACAAATCTGAGTCATTACGGATCTATTTCAATGTTATTATAGATCTATTTCATCATCAACAACAACAACCATAGATCAACAACTATCCCAAAAAAAAATCTGTAAATAGAGAGAGAAAGAGAGAGAAATTGACAAAGATATATACACAAATCTGTTCAATCTAAGCACAGATCTGAGGATGAGCGTCTTCTTGTTCTTGTTCTTCATCGTCTTCTTGTTCTTGTTCTTCATCGTCTTCTTGTTCTTCATCGTCTTCTTGTTCTTGTTCTTCATCGCCTTCTTGTTTGACTTTAGGACTGAGATTAGGGTTAGAGGAGGAGGCGTAAAGAGGGAAGCAAAAAGCAGAGAGAGAGAGAAAAGGACTTTTGGGTGTACTCAAAAAGTTATGGGATTAAATGGTGTCCACATGTTCCACATGGGACCTATGGGTAATTTCCCCAATTTTAAACTGGAGGCCAACCACTCATAAACTGACTAGCCCCACCTGTGCACCTTCTCAAACCACATGGGTTGGGCTCTTTTTTGGCACACCCATATCAGTACATTGTTTCTAAATAACTGCATTGTGAAAAAAAATCCAAATGATTCAATATTAGACCTATAGCTTGACCAAGCCCTATGGCATAGGCGTAAGTAGCCAATGACCAGAATTAATGAGCAAAAGTCTCATCCCCGAGCATCACCCTAGAGACTCAAAACTCATGTCCTCCTAATTACCAAACCACATAGGCCCAAACACCATACTTCCAAAATATTGTTTCCCTTTACAAAAACATGGCTTGTATTGCTGAAACTAACTGATCTTATGACTAATGAACATAAAAATGATTTCTTTACATGGCATCACTACACCGAAATTCAATGAAATGTGTGCCTTTCTTTGTTTGGCATAGGCCATTATCATGGAATTCTATGAAACAGAACACTCTCAGGCATTTCATCAAGCAATTCCCTTGCATCCCCAATCCTACTGTTTTCAATGTAGCCTTTCATCATCATACTTCCAAGAAACAGGGTCCCTACGAGCTATTTGAACAAAACAGAACTTTTCCTACTTCAGCTTCTTTTAGAGTGACTCATGATGAATTCACAAATGATTGTTGAGACTATGAATTCAAACTTTTACCACTACCTAGTTGAATTTTTCCTAGTTTTGTATTCAATTTTTTACTACTTTCTACTTCATATCCTCTATCTCTTTCCTTATCTTGCTATTATTATATATTTGTCATGGTGGGTTAGGGCTATATACTTCAAATAATGCTTGAAAAACAACATCAACAAGCATTGGCTTAGTATATCACCATCTAAATAAAGGTCTAATACTTTCTGGTACCAGAGGGCACCTTCACAAATGGTCATCAAGAACAAAGCTCTTTACTCCCAAAAATACCGAAAAATAAAACATATTAACAGCTATACTATCATAGCCAACCACCACGGTAGGCTTCAGCCTGAGCAGTAGTGTTTACAAAAATCTACCTAGGGTTCGCCTGAGAAAAGGACCATTATCTCTCTCTCTCTCTCCCTCATAAATTGAAAAACATACAAGATCATGTCGTATGGGCTCATGTAAAAGAAACAGTAAGCACAATAATAATCACAGAAATGTAACTACCTCTAAACATCAAGTAGACTAAAATAAGATGGATTCACATTTTCCCCTGCAAATTAATTCAACAATCACAAATTTTGAATACCCAATACAACCAAAAGCCTCCCACCCTGTAGTTGTTTGTAGATTTTGTTCTGGGCTGTGAGACCCCCAATTGTACCCAAAAATCAAAATTACAACAAAAAGCCAAATGATTCAACCATTCATGTACCTACTCCATCAAAAGCAATCAGAGATGGATTACATACATATTAGCATCTTATCCAAAGCGTAGAATTTGGAGCAAATACATTGAAAGTTTCAACAAATTTACGGGCCTTGTTCTTCTGCATGCAGAGATCGAATACGCCATTAATGTGTTGAAAGAAGCATATATTCTTCAAAATTTGGTGACAACAAAAGACTGCAGCTGCATCATCCTAGGAACCTGCTGCAGAAATTAATAGATTTGTAAGGATGAAAATATTGTTAGAAATGGCAAGAAAAAAGCTAACTTTCATTACAATATTGTATAATATACATTGTGAGTTATTTTGGGTAAACACAAGAACTTAAAGTATGAAGGAAAATAAAGCAGTTTATTTGAAATGATAATATCTATGGGAAAACTCTTGCAACATGTTTACATGTTTTGGATCCGTTTAAGCTAAAAAACACCAAGAAAATTGCCTGAAGTACGATTTTCAAGATGTAGGAGGATAGCAAACAATTTAAATGCAAATTCATTAAATATGTACCCCGAGTGTGTTCTTAGTTGAAGAAAGCTCAAAAGGTTCAATGATCAAAATTGACGCCTTGGCCTAGCTTCAGCCATGCTTACTCGGATTGACCTGCCATTTAGGTCCTACAGCAGAGATTATAAGTCAGTTTTAGTTTCAGAAAAAGAGAATGTTGGATAATAATACCTTACAGTAGATATAAACTCTCAGTTGGGTAAATTGGATAGAAACAAAACAAGGTAAGAAGTCCATGAGAATTTTGGAAATTCTATATTCAATTTGATCAATGAATGAATGTTTACAAGCACTTCTCCAGTATGTCCATGTCCCACATAAACAACATATATCATCTGATGTTATTGGTAAATAAACACATTGGCACTACCATGCCCAACCTGCGAATATAATAAATTGTCAAATATTATAGGTAGATAAAAAGCATAATAAGGATATATGTATGTCATTGAGTGTCACCTACTAGCAAAACCCGTTCGGAAATCTAACAGTTATCTTTCGAAAAATAAAATTAGAAAAAAGAAAATCTATAAAATTATACACATAAACTAAAGTAATGTTTTGTGTCCATTAAAAAAATATATATACTTGAATGATCACATAACATATATATTTTTCCATCTACATAATGGCCAGTAAAATATAATATAAAAAAATCCCAATTTTTAATGCAGTAGATAAGTGTAGAAAGAAATACATGCAATGCTAACGGTTAGAATAACTTCCATAAGAAATCCCATGCATCACACTATTATTTAAATTAAAAAGGAAAATTTGTACAAAGTAACAGAATTTCAGCTCTGTATTAGTATGAGAAACTGATTTTTTTTCCCTTTGCAATTATTGACTGAATCAACAACAAAACAAACCCAAAATATGCCGACAAACAGAAGGTCTGAAAGGAAATGAAAACTAGAAAAGTAACAGGCTTAAGTTGGTAGGCCGCTATAAAATTCCAAATACATATATTTTTCTCCCAACTTTTTAGGAATCAAACAGGGCAGAAAAATAATAAAGACAAAAAACACATAATCAAGAAAAAGATAATCAATATACTTACAACACCATCCAATGATTCAATTGCATTGTTGACCTCATCTGAGGAACCAAAGGTCACAAACCCAGCAAATATTGTCCCATTTTTTTTACTTATTATGATTATTATTGTTTTTTTTCTACTTTCTTTCATTTCATAGTTCCCATGAATGATTTGGTTTTGAATTAGATTGAGGCTGATTGGAATCATGTTATTGAACTTGCTAAAGTTCGAATTGCTTTTTGAGTTTAGGCAAGTAAGGAAGATATTCCTTTTCAATATTCATAGGATGATATCTTGGAAAGTTTTGAAGTTGAATTAGTGCTCCAAACTGTTGAGTTTTAGAAGTGCTGAATGTTTTTATAGGCTTTTGTATTTCCTAGCTGGTCTGTGGATCACCTATGTACTATGTTGATCATTGTACTTGTATTTTTTGACAATTGTTCCATGATAATTGCTTTTGCTGGTAGTGTTCTTTGGCAAAACATGCTTGCTTGCTTTGCCTTTGTGGCTTTTGTACTGTTACTTTAATAAAATATTTATGATTGATGAATGTTTAATGATATGATCAGTGGTTGATGTTGAATCGATTTTCAAATCATTTATATAATAGTTATCCTTGCATTTTTTTTTTAAAAGGGAAAAAAAAATCAGACCTGTTCATAATAATAATTACGAATGAAGAATAGTGTATTCCTCTGTTATATGAGCACCTAACATGCAAAAGGTAGTAGTAATATTATAGCTGAAGTTGAACCGAACAAACAACAAGGCAGATTGAAGGACTACATTATCAATGGTTGTTGTTGAACAAAAAACTTGTAGTTTAAGAGGCATTATTTTTAAATTGGTGAAGTTATCTAGCATGAGTTTCTAAGTAATCAAATCTCTATGAATGAGTTTCTAATGTGTCTGCAAAGGGGCTAAGTACATAAAAAGGATTCTTAGATATTTATATATCTTATATGGAACATTTTTTTTTTCAAAGCAAACAATAAACTTCAGCAAAAAATCAATTTCACATAATTATTGTACAACATATAAGAAGAATTTAAGAAACCCTAACTCTATACAGTGAGAGCCCAACAAACTTCTATAGAAAATACCAAAATTAATTTTCATGAGACTAACTTGTAAGTTAGATTAAAAAAATGTACAGGACAAAAAACAAAGAATAGAAGAGGAGTGTATATCTGGCTGGAAAAAGGGGAGAAAATTAGGGGAAATGAGAAGTAGGCTCCAAGGTACAATCCAACAATATATGTATGTACACACAATGAAAAATTTAAAAACTGTCCCATAACAACTTAAAATTTAAAATTAACTAACTAAGAACAAAATAGAACTAATAACGCTAAACTACCAAATATATAAAGCCAAATAATAACATAACAACTAACACTACAAAAATAGCAACCCATCAAAGATAGCAAGTCCAATTAAAACAGTGAAGATATATGGAGGTCCATGGTTTCGATTTCTATGTTTCAACAACACACACAATCAAATGAAATGTGGAAAACAACAAAGCTTACATAGCCATTAAATTGCTGAGCAGCTGCCTGAACCTCATCAACTGTAGACATTGTCACGAAGCCAAACCCTCGGCTTCTTCCAGTTATCTTGTCATATATAACCTGCCAAAGCAGCTCAAATTTGCATTGCACATAAGAATCTCTCTTTACCTTCTTTTTTTTTTTCCACACAAAAATCATTGTAAAATTAAAACCCAAAGAAGAAATATGTTAACTCAATTCTCTGAACCCCACAGTAATTCTTATTTCATTTTTAGAATTTTGACTAGCAAAACTGGAAAAAGAACCGAAGTTCACAAGGGGCCAAAAAAAAAAAAAATCCCTTCACACCAAATAATAAACCTTGTTACAATTATATAAAAAGTAAAAACCCATATCTATTTCATAGCTTTGTAACAGACCAAACCCAAAGAATAAAATTTTAACTCAATTCTGAAGCCCGTAGAAATTCATATTTCACTCAAAGAATTTTCACAAGCAAAACTTGAAAAATAACAGAAGTTCACAAGAAAAATAAATAAATAAATAAATATGAAAATGAAAATAACCCTTCACACCAAATAACATAAATTTTACATCAAACAAAACATTATCTAGAAAACTAAAATCTCAATAAACCCTAAACCCATATATATATATATATTTCATAGATAGACCAAAATGTAAATTCATACCTCAACCATCTCGACATTTCCAGCTCGTTCGAACAACCCAGCAAGAGTAGCACTGTCGACATTGAAAGGTAAGTTTCCAACGAAGAGTTTGAGAGCAGGAGAGAAACTGGGTTCCTCTGCATCGCTCAATAGGTCCTCTTCTTGCTCGTACTCGGATGAAACCGCAACGTTTCGTACGAACTTGGAAGGCGAGGAGGCTTCGAAGGGTCTAGAAGGAGAGAGAAGAAATGAGGAAGTATATATGGAGATGGACTTGGGAGGGGACTTGGAGGAGAGAGAGAGTGAGACAGCGGCTGTGGTGGGTTTGGAGTTGGAGAGAGCGAAAGAGTTGGGAGTTAGAGAGAGCAAATGGAGGGAAGAGGCGGAGGAAGACATGGCTGCGCTGTGTGTAGCGCTTTGTTAGAAGATAAGGTTCTGAAAGAGGAACGCAAAGAGACTAGAATAGCAAGGAGAGAGAGTGAAGTAGGGGATTGGGATATTTGTAGGGGAGGGATTGGGGAAGAGGGGAAATATCTACCATAAACCTCAATTTTATCTTATTGCAATTATTTAGAAAAAAAAAACGACAATGTTAGGTAGCTCAAATTTTTGTGGCTCAAATGGCTCAAATCTGTCACAACGACGTCGTTTTGACAGATTTTGAGTGTAAAACGACGTCGTTTTGACAGATTTGAGCCATTTGAGCCACAAAAATTTGAGCTACCAAACATTTTTCAAAAAAAAATATGATTTAATTTTACCCCTTTACATTTTAATATTTTATACTTATCATAATTCTTAATCTCACATTTTCTCTATCTAACTTCTCATCATTTTGTCTCCCTTTTTTATTTTGTTTTTCTCTCTTTCTTCTGTCTTTCACTCAAATCTAATTTTTAGAGATAAAAATGACTATATGACTACAATTTTAAACGTCATAAAAGAGAAAGTAATCGTTAGAATTTTGTAAGTGATAGGAAGGGGTTACAAAGGCTACAAAGTAGAGAGCTGAGGAGTTCAGAATTGAGAGTGGATGGCATCAAAAAGGGATTAAAGGAGATGGGATAGCTTCGAGTGAAATGTGGATAGGCGAGGCAGAAGTGGTTGCAAGTGACGAAAAAAAAATAAATGAGAGGAAATGGAGGGCTAGTGAGGAGAAAGAACCTGGGGAAATATTGGTGAAGAGATGGAAAGGAGTAGGAACGATAGTCAATAAGGAGAAAGAGAGGTGGTAGCAAGTGAAGAGGGAAGAGTTGGTAGCGATAGCTAGTAGCAACAAAGATCGGTGGTTGGAAAACATGTGAGTAAATTTTTTGTTTTTGAATTTTAAAGTTTTTATCTTAGAAAATAATTTTTATTAAGGTACAGAATTGTAATAAAAATAGATAAATAAATGTTAGATATATAGAAACAAAAATATAGTGTAAATAAAATATCCCTACCTAGGTGAGTTGCGAAATTAGCAATTTGATTTTGGAATGTTTAAGTCCTTTTTGATAATTTAAATAGGGATAAAATAAAATAAAATAAGAGGTGTAATGAGATGATTTTATGTGTAAATAGAAGCATCCATAATCACATAAAATCATCTCATTACACCTCTCATTTTTTATTTTATCCCTATTTAAATTAGTAAAAAGGACTTAAACATTCCAAAATCAAATTGCTAATTTCGCAACTCACCTAGGTAGGGATATTTTATTTACACTATATTTTTGTTTCTATATATCTAACATTTATTTATCTATTTTTATTACAATTCTATACCTTAATAAAAATTATTTTTTAAGATAAAAACTCTAAAATTCAAACCCAAAAAATTTACTCACATGTTTACCAACCACCGACCTTTGTTGCTACTAGCTATCGCTACCAACTCTTCCCTCTTCACTTGCTACCATCTCTCTTTCTCCTTATTGACTATCGTCCCTACTCCTTTCCATCTCTTCACCAATATTTCCCCAGGTTCTTTCTCCTCACTAGCCCTCCATTTCCTCTCATTTATTTTTTTTTCGTCACTTGCAACCACTTCTGCCTCGCCTATCCACATTTCACTCGAAGCTATCCCATCTCCTTTAATCCCTTTTTGATGCCATCCACTCTCAATTCTGAACTCCTCAGCTCTCTACTTTGTAGCCTTTGTAACCCCTTCCTATCACTTACAAAATTCTAACGATTACTTTCTCTTTTATGACGTTTAAAATTGTAGTCATATAGTCATTTTTATCTCTAAAAATTAGATTTGAGTGAAAGACAGAAGAAAGAGAGAAAAACAAAATAAAAAAGGGAAACAAAATGATGAGAAGGTAGATAGAAAAATGTGAGATTAAGAATTATGATAAGTATAAAATATTAAAATGTAAAGGGGTAAAATTAAATCATTTTTTTTTTCTAAATAATTGCAATAAGATAAAATTGAGGTTTATGGTAGATATAAAATTGAGGTTTATGGTAGATATTTCCCCTCTTCCCCAATCCCTCCCCTACAAATATCCCAATCCCCTACTTCACTCTCTCTCCTTGCTATTCTAGTCTCTTTGCGTTCCTCTTTCAGAACCTTATCTTCTAACAAAGCGCTACACACAGCGCAGCCATGTCTTCCTCCGCCTCTTCCCTCCATTTGCTCTCTCTAACTCCCAACTCTTTCGCTCTCTCCAACTCCAAACCCACCACAGCCGCTGTCTCACTCTCTCTCTCCTCACTATTCATCAAAAGTCAACAATTACGGCTGCACAACTCCCAATTTTAATTTTCCTCTACAAACCAATTTTTACAATTTTTCATTACACATTTTTCCATAAAAAGTCAAAAAGTTAACCTAAACATCTATATTTTTTCCCTCAACTTTTTAGTCCAAAAAGACAAAAAGTATACTTATTTAGGACACCCCAAACAACCCCTTAGGCTCCGTTTGGCAAGAGCTAAACGGGGCTTTTTTGACTATTTTAACCACAAAACACAAAATAGGTTATTTAAGTCACAAGAAACAAAATATCACATCCAACCCATAATCATTACATTCTTCTCTCATAAAAAAAGTCAAAAAAGCCAAAAAGTTAAAAAGTCCTTCCCAAACTAAACTTTATAACCCAGGCTAAAATAGCCAAAAAAACCAAAAAACTAACCCACTTCCCAAACGGAGGCTTAGGTACTATTTGTTGTAATTTATAATGGTTGCTTATAGTGCTTTTGTTTGTAACTTATAACGTAAAAAAAAATTAAATAAATTGATAAAAATTGATTATTCAATTTGAAAGGAATAATTTTTATTTTTATTTTTAAATTATTGTTGGTTATTTTTGACATTTCAAATGTTGGAAATGTAATTCAAGCATGCTAGTAAGGATCTGAAAAATCCTTACAGATAATAAATGTAAATTTTTATCAAGCAATTGTATTAAGGTTCTCTTAGTCTCAATGAAGAAAATTTTATTATGTTGTATTAAAAATATGAGCCAAAACTTTAACTTAAATTCGTAACAAAATAGAAAGGAGAGAGTGGGCATAAATTGCAATTTGTTTAATTGAATAAACTATTACAAAATGTTACCTTTAGTAAGGGCAATTTCAAAACTTTTAAACCGATCGGGTTTTGTAATTACAAGGCTAATCTACTTTTACGAAATGTAAATGCATTACATAAAAATAAAATGCAAAAATTTAAAGATAAATGAGATTGACAAAAACGTAGAGTTTGGATTTGGTCGAAGGTCTCTTCAGTCTTTGCTTTCCATCTATTTATAGCCTTCTCTTGGCGCCTTTGAAACAGTCAGAGGAATCTTTTGTCATAATCTCCTTCCTTCTCATTACTTCTTAGGGCCACGATCTTTCTTTTGTGCATATGTAACTGCTAGCAACTGCTCCTTATTAACTCATTCTTCACGTGTCTCGCACATGTTGTTTATCATATTTGTCGATTCAAGACTTGCACTCGTAGCTCATATGGGCACCTTTGAAAGTGGGACTCTTTAGTATTTGAATACCCTTTACTTACCACGTGTTGCCTTTGCACTGGATGGTTCAAATGTGACATCAACAATTATCGACTTTCAACTAAGTCCTTGGCAATAGTATCTATTGCAGGACAATCAAGAAGGTACTCTATGAACTTGTTACAATAAACTGTACTAAACAGATCCAAATGTATCAGTTAAAAGCACAACAGTGATTTGAGAAAGGCTTCATATTTAGAAAAGAAAAAATTAAATATTCAGAATTCATGCTTAGATTTTTGTTGAGAATAACAAAATGAGTGGTTTAAATTTAACTTTTATATAATTTTTTTGATAAATTTTTATGTAAGAATTATTGGTATTTTGAAATTGGGGTCATCAAAGAGCCAGATCATATTATAACCAAGTTGAAGCATAGGACAAAATGAGGCCTGCCTGCAAGAAGATGCCAGCTGCAACAGAGATATATACAAAAGTATCTAAAGACAAGAAAGTAATGAAGATGGATAGATTTAGACATTTATATTACAGTGGATATGAAACTCCATTCTTCAAAATACCCCTGTAGGTGCAAAATCTTCCATGTTTTGGCATGTCATTAAATGTCACAAAGTTACCTAAAGATAACAAATCCTATCAAAAATAATAAATAAAATAAAAGATATCAGATAACATGAGGAGGGTAACTCATGATATATATGTATATATGGATAAATGAAGAAATAACTTATTTTGATTGATTTGATTTGATGCACATGTGAAGGCCCAGATGATAAGTGGCCATCCTCTTTTTTTTTTTTTCCTTTCAAACAAAAAGTTAGTTAATAATTAAATTACAACTCAAGTTAATTTCTTTCTACATACTTAAATGCTCTGTTAAAATCATTTGTATTACTAGTGCCACCTACCCAACTACGAACTTGGGACACCATGATATGAGTCCATGGAAACATTTTTTAAATCTATTTTAATGGTCAAAACAGTTCATATTGTATAATTTGTCGAATAGATCATTCATGAAAAAATTAAGTCAATTAAACATCTATAACCCATGACAAAACTACATTTATGTATATAAAATAAACGATTAAAACGATTTTGATAATTTTTTAATAAAAAATTATGATATAATCATGGGATTATATATGTCCGATTAATCTCATTTTTTATATAAATAATATACTTGACAAAACTTATAATATGAACAATTTAAATTATCAAAATAATATCAAAACGAACCTCAATCGGGGCGTCACAGTGGGATGCTGTGACAGCACCCTCCATGTGTCCCCCAACTACATTTTGTAAACAGTTAAACTTCTCTGAAATTTAAATATGAACTTAGAGAACTTTGGAGGGCCTGCTGCAATCTCCGTTTCAATAATTTGAATTATTTATTTTGTACGAGATTTTTTGTATATTATGCATGAAAAAATTAAGCTAATCAAATAATCATAACATTTTCATTTTATTAGGTTTGTTTTCAAAAAAAAATAGATGGTTTATCTTCAAAAATATACTTGCCGTTTATTTATTTAATTTTAGACAAACACCAAAAAATAAA